CCCCCCCCCCTTCCCCTTCGACCCCTCGAAGTCTGATTTGCTCGTAGCGGGTTTGATCGACCAACCCAACGGCTGACATACTACAGCCCATTATTACCGGGAGCATCATCAACTTAGGTAGCCAGCCCATACCGAGAACCGGCCAGTGACCTGACAGCAGCAGTGTTATAGCTTACTTAGCAAGACTATGCTATTAACACACTACACGACACGACGCGACGCTACGCTACGCTTTTAGCCCCGATTGCGATCTGCCTTGGGATCGAACGGAGGAGTTCGGAGGTCTTGTCCTTGTAATTTACACTAGGCTCTTAATTCGATCACCTAAGGATATAGTCGTACTCGTCAGTGATAACTTACTACTTTCCGTATGGATTATTATAGTCTTCTCGGCTATAGTCCGTGTCAAAGCCTTGCCAAACTGCACGGCACGGGTGGCACGCCGAGGGCGGAAGGAGAGGGGGCGCCGCGAGCCATGTTCATCCGTTTGGAATTATTGCCTCGGGTCAAAAGTACGAAGTACTGCTCAAGATTATTGTTGGCGCCTAGTGACGTTACTCCGTCGGTTTGATCGACCTGATTTCGTTGCAGCATCGCCCATTGACTACCTACGTAGTTACTCATAGTACGGCGAGGGAGACAGGGAAGTGCTACTGTAGACTACTCCGTACGTCTCATAAAACGTAAGTCTCGGCCGAGGGATGCGAATTTACCCCGCCAAACAGGAAACTTGGAATGAGTGCAGTGAATCCATCCCTTTTGCCCCTCGCCCTCCATGGCGTCTGCTCTACTCTGCTGCGTCTGTCAGGTCTCAGAGGCGATTATCTGGTTCTGGTCACTGCAACATCAGCATGAAGAAATCTCCTTCCCGCGCGATCCCCCAGTCTCCTATTCAGCAGCGGGTAACTCCGCCACATGCGAGACAACAGCCATGAGCATGAGCATGAGCATGAGCAGGTGACGAGCAACGAAACACAAAAGAAAAAGCACGACAGAATAAACTTCGGCTCCTTGCATTGCGCAGCATCACCATCGATCGCCTCGTTCAATAGAGGCGCGGTGATCGGGAGTCATTCAGCCATAACTCACTCGAGTATAGTTTCCTTTGGCGGGGATTGAGGAGAGAAACTTCCGACAGAGTCCAGCAGACAAGCAAACGCCCACACGCACACAGACGTGGAACGCAAAGGTTGATGACTCCATCGTCTTGCCCTTTTCCGTTTGGCTCTGCGTCTCCCGTCCCCGCTCTCTCGCAATTGACCATCAACCGATGACCGATTGATTGATTGCCACCATTGCGACGGATCGACCTCCAGATCGGATGGAGGGGGTGGTGGAGGACATTGGCGACGGCTCACCACCTGGATAATCAAATCAGGATTCACAGTCCTACGCGAGCGAAGCCAGATTAGAAAAGTCAGATAGAAGGAATCAACGAGACAGATCTGAGATGCTGTGCAGGGACAAGCTGGCTTGTCCCGGTTATCGGGTCCTTGGTTTGGCCTCTAAGGCCCGGATTCCTCACGGTTTGATCCACTTGGATGACCGTTTCAAGCGCCGTGCATGGGTTGGATTGGGTCCATCGTGGGGACTGGCCGGAGGGGGAAAGGAGGGAAAGTTGATACTGATCTATCAACCAAGGTCAGATGTCCGTCATCAGGCGGACATTTGTTGGTTCTTGATTTGGTTGGCGGCGGGGTTTGATTATTCGTATCCGTTCCCTTTCTAGTTTGGGAGAGGAGGTGGTTGGTGCTTCACGCGGAAGAGAACTCCGCAGCACACAATAAACAGCGACAACAAACTAAGGACAAACCTCATCCTCCATGACCCCTCCCAATAGGCATAAGTAGTACCGACTGATCAGACAGGTGCGGTGAGCTTGTCCCGGGTCAAACTTCTATGGAGAGGGTTCTCCTTCCTCGGGTCCAAAGGAGATTGTTGAGGAAGGGTGGCAGGTGCTTGACGCCCGTACTAGGTGGTGCCAATAATAGCCCGTCAGGCGGCGCAAAATCCTCCTCAAGTTTCAACGCTCAGGCCGTTAGGGGGGTTGCGGCGCAAAGTGGGATTGCCATCCGCCATGGCTTTCCCCGAACCCACTCGACCCCGATTGCTTGCATCGATTGGTGGCGACCTCGAATCGGGGTGAGGTCGACCTTCTCGATTTCCCGTGCGAAGGGGGTCTGCAGGGACCAGTTAGTTGGGTTGTGCCCGACCGCGGATCGGAGTCGAAACAGGGACAATGGAATTGTCGGGGATGATCGGGGGTATGCGCGCGACAAAGGCCCCGAAGAGGATTAGACTGAAGTCGAGTTGATCAATACTGTGTAGATTGGAGTAGAAGGTGAGAGAGAAGCAGAGTGATTAGAATGGGGAACAGAACATTGGAAGGAGGGGCGGCGGGTAGTTGGGTTGACAGCTGGCCGCGGTCCATTTGTCCAGCCGCCGTCCACTATTGCCCTTTCGGGAAAGCGCCTCAGACGTTTGGTCTTAGGGTTTCTCGCTTAGGGCTGATCGGTCATGGTCAAAGTACGGAGGAGCATAGCATAGCATAGCTTAGCATAATTAAGATCGATATGAGTATTCTATCGATAAAGATGAGAGTATAGCATGAGGACGTAGTTACATATTCTTCAAGTTCTCCAGAACCGTGCGAAACCCCCCATTGCAACAACAAGATTCAGTCGAATCACACGACATTCTCTACTGCTCCATCTTCAGCCGTACTAATAGGACCCTCACCTCACCTCACCCAAAAAGGCCCTGGCCCTATAGTGCATAGTGCAGATCATTCCCTCCATTTCCGGGCCAAATCCCAATTACCTGGGCCGGCCATCTATCCCAATCGAGCAGCATGTCCGCGCCAACAGCAATGAAGGAACAAAAACAAAAGGACGGGTCAACAGCAACAACAATCACAACGACAGGAAAAAGGACTAAAGAGATAAGTTAGTCACTCATAGTCAGCTCCGAGTGAAACACATAGTTCAATCTAAAATATCCCGCGGAAAGTCAATTCCCAACGAAAGAACAAGAACAAAGAACCCATGGTCTTGGGAAAACCTTCGAGCCTTCCTTTCAGGCTCCGGGCCTCCGTAAACTACGTGGCTTGTGCACGATCCCCTTCGGCCCGTTCCCCCCCATCCCCCTCCCCTCTTTTCCCGTCGTTTACGGAGTACAGTTACATAGTACAACGAAAGTACAGTACCAAAAGCCACCGGCCTTTGAGCCAGGTAGAGCTTGCTAGCTAGCTAGCTAGCTAGCTCATGGCGAAGAAACAATCCATTCCTAACCAATTCATATACCTGGGACTTCCTAGTGCGTCCCTCCGTATGCATAGGACTTTGTGATCCCGGAATTCCAGTTCGTAGTGGATCGCGCCGGGAAACCGCGCGCCTATAGTATTTTGTGTCTGTATGCATGGACCAGGGGAGGGGGGGAAAGGGAGGAGAGCTGAAGAAGTTGATCGTCCGTCTGTTCCTTCTTTTTCCGTCCGGGTTTGGAACAATAGGTTTCGGGGATCTGAAACGAGGACTCCATTGTTCGATCTGGTGGTGGTGGCACAACAGCTTTCCACTGTGGCTACGGTTCGGATACTCCGTCGTTGTCGGTTGAAGGTTGCGGATCCTCCAGGGGCACTTTCACGTCGTTTTGATGCCGGTTCTATGTACTCCGTACAGAGCCACCGTTTTCCATCCGCACAATGATGGGGTTTGTGAGCGGTGGATTGTGCGCAATAACTAACACACTCGAAATGTAATTGAGAGACAATTGACCACTGTTCCAAGGCGTGGTACTTTTTCCCTGTGCAAGGATATATCTCCCCACCAAGACAGCCGTTGGCAGCCTGTGCCCTAGCCCCTCCCCTGTCTTCCTTGATTTCTTGTTCCTACAATAAATATAATCCCTGAACCTGACATGACCCCAGCCCTGGAACTGGAACTAGAATCCTTCGTTCAAGGTTGTCTTTTCCCCCTCCCTTGACAGAGTCTAGCGCGAAGCATGGAACACCCCTGGAGAAGGGAGGGGGGGCTGGTTTAATTTCCGGACGAACAGCGCAGAACCCCGGTAACGGGGTTCCTGAGGTAGGGCCAGAGTCGAAGTAGACAGGCGAAAAGCAAATCCCCCATGAGTTCGGGCCGACCAAGCTAGTTTTAGCTGAACTTGTTGGTCGGTTTCAGATTGCAAATCATCATCATAATCCACCACAGCGGTGGTCTGACGGTTTGGTAAACCAGAGGATCTACTAATCTGCGCCGTTGTTTACACCATGACCGAAAAGAGAAAAGCCAAAACAACTTACTTACTACCTAGGCACAGGCACAGGCACAGGCACAGGTACAGGTAGCTACACGGATTTTTCTGTGGTCCAGTTCGATATTCCCATGATCCCTGCGCAGATTAGTGGGCACGGGTTGCACATTACCACCATCATTATCACTATGATCAGGTATATACCGCGGAATTGGGACTGCAGAACTAACTAGCGGCTTGTATAGGTCGAGAGTTTCTTATCTGCTCTGTAACTGTTCTGCTTCCATCCACTATAGACGTGGACTAACTACTGGGCTATGGCGAGCCCCTTGCCCTCTCCACCCGTCCGCTTTCCCTAGACCTCAATAGAGAAGCTCGGCGGTGGTCTTGTGGGCGCACGACACCGGATCAGGAAGGTACGTACTCTACTTGCGTCGGTCATCTGGCAGGTAGGCTGGCAAGGAGTGGTAGTTGGTCGGTATATCCATCAATTGCGGATTTGGCCCTCGGGGATGGCGGATGTTTCTGGGGTGAGAACTCCGCATCCCCAACTCCGAAGAAGGTAACTCGCTATTTTTCCTCTTCGTCAGTGGTACTCACTCAGTGGGCTAGTTGTTCCAGATGAAGACTGGATGCCTCACCATGGAAGATCGTTGCTTCATCTGAGATTGTCAGGCGATTTGTGTGGGGGATTGACGTCGGAGGTGGAAGAAGGGAGGGGGCTCGGAACACTTTAAGTAAAATGAAGTCAGAGAGATAGTAGAGTACACTGTAGAACCGTCCAGAAGATCAGTGGCCATGTTACAGAAATCAAGATATTGTTTGATCGCCATGGGCAAGAAATCTTGCTTTTCCGGAGCAGCAATCTATGTGAGGGTATTCCCAAGCTCGAGGTATGAGGTCAGGATTGGTGGGCTACAAACCAAAGCAGGGAAGTCGAAGAATGTTCCATGGTTTTGAGAACCGCAATCTGTCCCTACATCCCTGATGCTGCTGCTGGTGGTAGAAGGGGAAAAGAAAATAGGAATAAAAACGGTGATATCAACGATCAACACATAGCGCTGCTGCACAAGGTGCATGCACTTACAGGGATAATCCCTGCAGCCTGGGTATGGCTGATTTGGAAACTGCTGATTGGACTTGATGCACCCTAAGCTCAGTTTAGCAGACATGCAGGAGTGCAGTGGGTGGGTTGGAGCGAGAGACCACTTTCACCCATGCGACTGTGCTCCGATGGAACCCAATCAAAACCGGGTGTCGCCAGCACGCAGCTCAGCAGCATCATTACGCTGCAACAATGCTTGTGTGGCTTGCTGTTTCTAGTGTCGACATCCACGCATTGATGGGTCCATGGGGGGGGAGGGGGGAAGGGGCGGGGGTTTGCGGCTCCACCCGACTGCTGCTGAGTGGAGAGACTGTAGGTAAGTACAGCATGATGGCTGCAGAATTGATCCACAAGCCGGGAAATCATCTGGCCCTCTCCGCCAGTCACTGATTCAGGAACAGGGATCCCCCGGGTAAGATAGGTTCGGGGCTAACGAACGCCTGCAGATTGTGGCCAGGCCACACCACTAGGATTCTTTCCAAACCCACGCGAGCTCAATCCATTCTCCCAACCATTTCAAGGTTCCAAAGAACAGACGAGGAAATTGGGGGGAGGGAAAATAACGTCGGCGACTGACGCCCACCAATGACATCCTCGGTTTCATTCCCCACTCTCTATCCTGAAACGCCCACGGTTGAAATTATAGCTAGAGCCATGAGGAGAATCACAAAGCGTTGAGTGGGAAGGGCAGAACCCGATGACTCGTGAAGAATTGAAGATGAAGCTAGAAAGTGGCGGGTGTGGAGGCCAAACACGAGTCGTGCGCGCGCGAGCGCACACACGCACACACGCACACAGACACCTGGGAGAGGATGAACTTGTCCGCTCGGCTGCTGTAACACATTCCAGATTGACTTGCAGCACCCACAAACACAAAACATAAAACATCAAACAAAAAGTTTAGGAGGGAAGCATGGATAAACCCAATCGGGCTATTTCCCCCAATCAAGCCCGGCGATCTGCCAGTCTACTTCTGGGATCGTTACAAGGCATGTGTAGCCTCAGCTGTCATCGTGATCAAGCGCACTGCACACCTAAATTGGTTCCCAATTGGATTCCGACCAAAAAAAGTATGCTTTCGCCTAGATGACTGGTCAAAACTATGCATGCTGTCCCAGACTCTCGGTCGCGCGACGATTCCCAAAAGGGATATTCTGTAGAGGGGAAGCGAACGAGCGGCGGCGGAGGCCCAGAAAACAGAAACTGAGCGAAGAATGATTCCAGTTCTAGTGTAATCATTCTGCACCTGCTCCTTTCTGGTAGGACGGTCGACGCCAGCCACCGGGACGGGGAGAGGCCGAGGACCCCAGTCAGTATGGATTAATTCGATAGATAGAGTCTTTTGTGATAGAGAATCGAGTCTAGTCGCAGCGACTATGTCGGCGGTTCCATGGTTCAGAGGGTCTTTCCGGCTTTTACCCGCAACCTTGATGAGTTGTACAACCCCAGGCTTAACTT